GACCGCGTGTGCATTCCGAACATTATGATTGGCAGCTGTCAGAAACACTACATCCATGATGCATCAAAAAGAAGCCATTGAGTTATGCAACTGTCATAATTTGAGATGGATTCCTCAAAACCCAATAGACGAGGTAAACAACTCTAACTCTCTTACCGACCTGTATGTTGAGCTTATTTCATGATGAATTTGGAACAAATGTATCATGGGTAACGTATCGCAAGTTGCACAAATGTGTGAACTAACCTGTGTAGGAAACACTACTTAACTCTTCCCTCTCAACCTCACTGACGAGCAGCTACATAATTTACAGGAATGTCACACAATTTTATGTCATGTATTCGGGGGAACGTAAAAAAAAGACTGGGGCAAAGTGGACTTTTTTCTGACGCTGCATCATAAAAGTAACGGGAATGTCACTAAATATATTCCGTCACGCATCCAGGGAAACGCAAACAGAACTGAGGAGAAGTTTTGCGGAGACAAGAAGAAAAAATTTTAGAATTAATTAAAGAATTAACTGCATTAGTTGTCAAATTTTTGGATGTTTGAAGGGAAGATGATGGCATCCAGTTGTGTTTTCCCAATCATCGAGGACTGAGAGAGACTTTCTCCCCTGAACAGACCTGAAAAATTAGTCAACAATGTTCAAGAAGCGGGGAATAATTTGTGACATGTTTTGCGATGATTTTTTAGTTTGATTCAACCATTTTCGTATCTGAAGTATTTCGCAAGCAGGCAAGACTGCCGTCGAATTCGGTGTAGTTTGACTAATAGCTTAAGCTTCTAAACCACTGACACTCGGAACCTCGTCAAGATATTGACCAATGCGAATTCACCCTTTATTTAAAATAGAAAATTCATAAAATCTGTAAAATTAGAGCGAAGTTCTGTCCGTGTAAAAGTCGGACCAAAAAGTTGTCGTGTCGAGGTACCCAATGCAGCAAGGACGGCAGCGCTGTGGAAAAAGTCATCAAAAAATGAATTTACATTTTTGGTTAGAATTTCGCAAATGGCTGAATTTGTTTCCAGCTTCTTAGTGGTGTAGAGTTGTACGTATATAATTAATTAATTTACCATCGGGGTTTCCGTTGTCGGGGCTGTCCTGGTGTAGCGGTACACGGGGAATTCCTATTGTTTTCATATCCATACATGGAGTTGTGACGCAGTTCGTTAATGTTTCGTTCCTTTGTGTACCGGTACACGAGGACACAACCCCGTTGTCAGTCCACGCAAATTCTGGGAGTTTCACGTTGTTGCTTGCAAGGTTTTAAAACGTACGCGCTGAGCTTTAGGGCTGTCCACAAGTTGCTCCAATTTTCTGAAAAAGTTGCTCCAATTTCCTCAAAAAGTTGCTCAAAAGCTGCACCAAAACTCTAAAAGTTACTCAAAAGTTGCCCCAAAATCCAAAAGCTGCCCTCAATTTTTTAGTTTAAGAGATTGATTAACAACGTAAATAAAGATTTAATGAATAGATTTCACTTTGCATAGATATTATATACATAATTATATCATACTGACTCATCAATATTGTAAGACTGAGTCTCTCTCAACCCAAATCATAAAAATCTGATTCTCTGTATTGGCTTTCTATTACGATAACCACGTGATTGTATTCGAACAAAACAAACTTTGCTAATATGCTTATTAAATATATAAAGTTTCTCTGCTTCTAAAGGATCTGAATATTCATCATCTTCACTCGAGCTCGAGCATGGACAATCACTCGGCTCCGCCATTTTGAATTTTTCAGCATATCCG